TCTGACACTCATCTATTCCATGTAGGTATTCATTAAAATGTGTTGATTATAAATTAAAGGCTGAGGGTGTTGGCTTATATTTTTATACATTTTTTTTACATTGAAAATAGATTTTTTAAAAGTATATTCTCTTTTTTTGGTTAATAGCATTATATTTCTATAAAATGACTGTTTTTTTCTTCAATGTCATAAACATGCATTTAATTTCTTTTTTGCAGATATTATTATTATCATTAATTACAATTTATTCAAGTTGTATCCCAACTGTAGCCCCCTCCCTCATCTCCTCTCTATTGCACCCTCCCTCCCTTTTCTTCCCTTATGCCCCTCCCTTAGTCCACTAATAGGGGAAGTCCTCCTCTCCTTCAGTTTGACCCTAGCCTATCAGGTCTCATCAGGACTGGCTGCATTGTCTTCCTCTGTGGTATGGAAAGGCTGCTCCCCAGCCCCCAGCAGAGAGGTAATCAGAGAGGCTGTCACTGAGTTCATGCCAGCCAAACAATATATTCTGATTACGATTTTCTCTCCCCCAACATCCCCTATACCTCCCTTCCCATAGAAATCTACACCCTTTTCTGTTTCTCATTAGAAAGTGAACAGACATCTTAGGATATCTTTCAATTCCTGACTCTCAGGAAACTGCTTTGAATAAGGTATATTGAGAATAAAGCACATATGAAAATTACCAAATAAATATAATACATAACTTGTGTTAAAGAACACAAATATTTGTCTCTATTTCTTTGGCAGAACTTCACAAAGCTTTGAATTTCCAAGGGACAGTCCTTGTGAATGTGAATGAAATGGCCAATTAGACACTTAGATATTTTTAGAGTAGGGCTGGCCACATCAAGAAGACTAAGCCTATGATTGGAGGCTGAACTATTCAGCTCCTGCCCACTAAAGGCATTTAGAGAAGAGCTGGTAACTGAGCTCAATCACATGACCAGTGACATCATAAATCATTTCTACACAATGTAACTCATATAAAAACTTCAGACACTGATCCGTGGAGTCTTCTGGCTGATGAATCTATCAACACATGGGAGTAGGGCACAGGGTCACTCTATGGAGACCAGCTCTGGTGCTCATGATACCCCAGACCTTTAGTCTCTTACCTGGTCAATAGTCTGAACCCTCTGTAATGAAATGGTGATCACAAATAGAGTGACATGGAATTCTGTGAACCATCCCACTGAATTATCAAGTCTGGGAAAGTGTTGGGACATTTTGGACTTGTGGTTGAGCTTGCAGAGGCACAAGCAGCTCCAGACTCCTGAAACTGGTGATGGGTGTCTGAAATGGGGCATCCTTGTGAGATTATGTGACCAACTTGTAGAGTCTTTGCTAAGTCTCAGTAGTGTCAAAATTGGATTGAACCACAAGAATTGATGTCAGAAAACTGTTATCAAAATACACAGAGAAAATCAAAAGGTCTTCCAAGGCATTTTAAATGCTTGTGGAAAAGTTTCTTTGATATGAACCTGTGAAAAAGATCAGAAAGGAGAGGAGAACCTCCCCTATCAGTGGACTTGGGGAGGGGCATGCATGCAGAAACGGGAGGAAGGGTGAGATCGGGAGGGGAGGAGGGAGGGGCTTATGGGGGGGATACAAAATGAATAAAGTGTAATTAATAAAAAATTTTTAAAAAAAGATCAAATATTGTAACACTAAGATATACACTTTGTAAAACAGTTATATAGAACAGAACTAACATTTAAATATCCCTTATTTTGTGACCTTGGGAAAATCATTTAACCTTGATGAGTCTTTCTACACATTTTAAAAATGAGGTAATTATCCTGGGTTTTAGTAGACCATTTTATGTGTCAATGTGGCTGGGCCTTTGTACCAAGATAGCTGGTCAACGTAAGTGACATTCAGTGACTTTGAAAGGTACGGTTAAGGAAGCAGTTCCCCACAGTGTGAGCGCGCTCCCCTCAGTCAGCTCAAGGCCTGAATAAAACAAAAGATTATCCTACCCTAAGAAAAAAGGAACAGGCATCAACAGGAACATTGTCAGTCTCTGGTCTCAAACTCATACCTCAACTCGCCGCCATCCGTAATTCTCCTCTTTCACCCTGACTAGTGTACTATTTTCTGTTTCTTGCATGCACGAGATGAGAACATACATGAAGCCACGTATAAATTTAAAAGCGCTAGAAAACACAAGGATGGTTGTTTGCTTGACTATGTAATTCATAATGAACATCCCAGATATAAGCATTAATAATATTCAGTGTGGTCAATGTTCCAGATAAAAAGGATTGAAAATAACAAAGAAAAAGCTGTAAATAAAAGGAATTAGAAAGATGCTAAATTTATGGCTTGGACAAATGTAGTATCTGTGCCATTGAGAGCAAACTCAGGGTGGACAGGAAACTGTAGCTTAATTGGTTTAGCTAATTTATCCACCCAGCACCTGACACAACACTTTGCCCAGTTGTTGCCCAAATAGTCAAAGAACAAATAACTTTCATCTATGCAATCAGCCAAAGTAGTCATAGAAAGACCCAAATACCAGAGTGAAAACACAATACATTAGTACACTGTATGGAGGGCCAGAAAGACAATGTGTACTAGAGCTGGCTGTGCTTCAGCAGAGTTACATATTAATAAGCCATAGTCCATATGATAGACAAGAGCAAGAAGATCATCTTGCCTGAATGAAGCCAAAGGCATGAACTCAGGAAGCTGGTGTATCCTGAGTTCCAATCCATAGCCTGGCATCACTTTCTAAGACAGTGAATGGCTTTGCCTCCTTGGACCTTTGCTGAACTTTACATAATAGCAAGGTGCAAATATAGCTTTGGGGGAGAGAAACCATTGCTACCACACTGAATGAGCACCTTTAAACTCCAAGGCTGCAATAAATGTGAACTTGTCGATTCTAGGAACTGGGATGCCATTTAGCAATGTCACTTGTCAGTTCAGACCTCTGGATGACATCTCTTGTGGCACTCAGTGGCTAGTCTGGAGTTCATTAGCATGCCTCACAAATTTATGGATTGTGGGTTTTGTGGGCAGATATTTTGAGACTTGGCCACAGAAGAATGTGGTTGCTTTCAAAACACTCTGAGCAAGGAGCTTGAGGCTGGGAAAACAGGAGCAGGCTGCTTGCCTTCTTGGTATTTTGGGAGGTATGTCATCATAACGATATTTCCAGGCTCCTCTGGATATGGTCAGTAAAGAAGAAACCATCAAGACAGCCTCCCTTAAATTAAAACAACAGTGGGATATTATTTTCTCCTTATAAAATTGGAAACAAAATTTAAAACTAATGCCCGGTATTACTGAGATCATATCCTTTATTACTGGAAGGTGGAAAACCACTTAGCCAGAAAAAAAAGTTTAAAAATTGCATAATCTTTAGAACATATCATTCTCTAAGAATTTGTCTCATGAAAATAATTGTCTGTGCAAAGATCTGACTATTAATTTATATTTAACGGTATTAATTTTAGTGAAAAATGTCTAACATTGACCACTAAAAATAACTTTGTAGAAGACATAATGACATGAGAATTTGGCCATCATAAATTGCTATTTAAAAGGCGGTTTACAGAGTACTATGTGCCAAGTCTAGTTTTTTTTTATTTTTAAAAAGCAAGCAAAATAACAACCCCAAGCATGAACACCGAAGAAAAAGCTAGACTGCCTATTAAAATATTCATAGCAGCCCTCTTTAGGTAGAAAGTTACAGGCATTTTAAAACTCACTTCTTTAGGCTCCTCTCAGCAAGTTTTCTATTATAAATATTACAACTGAATGAGGGGCACTGAGGCTTTAAATATTTTAAATAAAAAAAAAGAGCAGCAAATAAACACATAGACAAGGCTATGATAAACTAAGGTTTTCTAATACACACGAGCAATGTGCACAGTACTATATCCAAGGCTGTCTGTTCAAAACTGTTTCAACCTAGATGGTGTAGCATGCCCTGAGAGGTTTACACTGGAGTCATTCTGCAGGAATCATCCCCTATCCGCTATCCTAAGCCCTGTGTGGCATGAGGTCGCTGGGCTCAGCTCAGGGTTCTTGCAGGGAGGTGTCGTGAGACATTCCCCAAATGTTAGCACATGGATGTCACCTTGAGTGTGGGAGGTTCTGGCTCATCAGCTGCTACTCACCTGGAGAGTGGCATCAAAAGCTGGGTCTACAGGGAAATAAATGAGAAGCTCATGTGCCATGTATCCTAGCTCCATGACAGGCTGTCAAGAAGTTAGGTTTGTTTGAAAAGTTCTTAACCTCTGAGGCAGGGGGCTGGGGGTGGCATGAGGGTGGTAGGGGTGGGTGCTGATGTCCTCAGCACTCAGCCTTTCCCACAAATGTCCTCTGCTGTCCTTAACAGTGCACTGGGGGTAATAGTTGGTCTATTCATGTCAATCATCTGCTGGTTGGGTAATCAATCCAAAATGCTTTTCAAGATGATTCATGGAAAGCTGTGAAGTGTGGAGTATAGATGTCCATCAAGTAAAATCCCACACTGACTGTTCCAGATCCTTTTGGACTATAAAAAATGAGCGTCAACATGTGTATTTTCCACAAATGAGTGAGTCGGAGGCCCCCACAAAGCTAGATTTAAACAGAGCTCCCACCAGTAGGACAAGGGGAGCGGGGCCAGTCTAGCCCAGCTGCTCTCTGACAAATCTCTTCAGTAGCCAAGTCAGCCCTCCCCCAGTGGGTGTTTTCAGCCACACACACACACACACTCTCTCTCTCTCTCTCTCTCTCTCTCTCTCTCTCTCTCTCTCTCTCTCTCAGGGTCTACACAACTGAGACTGGCTTTAAGCGCATGTCTCTCAGCAGTATGTATTCTTGATAGTCTTCTGATTATCCTTTAAATCATCAGGGAGTCCACGTTAACCCACTTCCTCCGAGTTTAAAAGGCGTTTTATAGTCAGAGCGTCCCGGGTGCTTCGCCAGCCCACCCTTTTCCCAGACATGCAAACGGCCAGAAAGCCACAGAACACAGGACCCGCCGGACTGTCTAGACCCACCTTGCTGTTGCTGGTCCTCCTGCACCTTCAGCTGACCCGGGCACGCACCAGAGAACTGGCTGCCGTCTTTCCTCTGTGTTGTCGACATGGTACCAACAATCTGGCTGGGGCTCGGGAATCACTGGGGCATTTTGTCTCAGCCAGTCATCTTAAGACTTATCTGCAGAAGTCTCTGGGAAAGAACACAGAGGCACACGCAGCTCTCGCCTTGCATGTAAAACATTTACTCCTTGAAGAACATGCCAGAGTTCCTCCTGGCTAAGAATCCTGCAGTAAATATTTACCAGTGTCGCACCTTTTCCCTACAAAAATGCCAACTTAATTTGGTTGGAAAATCAATTCTTCGTTTCAAAGCATTCTGAAGCTTTCTCCTCTTAGAATGTAGAAATTCTACAAAGAAGCTATCTCTCTCGATCAGTTTTTAAGCATTTTTGATCCCTTCACTGGATGTGAAGCCCAGTCCCTCTAGTAGAGCGAGGACTGCTAGAGAAACGTACAGGCAAAGGGGGAAGGTACTGCAGGGTTAAATCAAGGTTTCCTTGCCTGGTTGGAGTTTACCCCTGTGACAGCCGGACGAGCACGGTTCTTAAGGGAGGCTGGAAGGGGGAGGAGACCAGTGAAGTAGCTGATTAGCATAAAGAGGCAGGCAAGGCGGCTTTTGATTGCTTTAAGGTAGAGACGGAAGCAGGGGCTGTAAAGACGCCCTGACCGCGCGGTAATTAACCACCTTCCTTCTGCTGCGCAGTCTTTAAAGCACAAGCCCAGAGCAGGGCTTGAACGGCGTGGATATTCTCGGGCACATGTGAAATGGAAAAGGTACAGCTGGGGCTGGTCATGAGCTCATGGAAAAGTACTGCTGGAACTGCCGGATCCTGTAAACAGCTCTGAGGCTCCAGGAGAGGACAGTTACGGGGCTGAGGCAACTATTTTAGAGTTCTGCAAGAAAAGGAACACACGGAGCGCTACCCAGAAACTTACCTTTGCTTCTCAGTACAGTCTCCGCTGCTGCCACTGGGTTGTAAGACAAGGCTGCTTGCCAGTCCATTACTATTGGAAACCAGACCCCAAACACCTTAGATTCAAAAAAGTCACAATGAATACCGTAGGTCCTGCTCTGCAGCCTCCACTTCTTGCAGAGTCCGAATGTACGCAGAATTGAGAAGGCCGGAGCTGTCTGGAGGCTGAGGCTCTCTGCTCATATTTGGAAACTCGTATTAAATACCCTAATAAGGTTGTCTCTTTGGGATATCTGGGGGTGGGGGTGGGGTTGTGTCTTTTGCTGCTGTTTTGTTTCTTCATGCTGAGGCAATTTGCAATTTCCCAAGCATATTTTGGTTTCTAAAAACTCATGAAATGTATGTATGATTTCTCTTTTTTGACTCCTGTGACTAGTTAAAATGAAATGTTTGTATTATATTTTGTTTTCTATTTCCTGGAACTATCATAAAGACTAGACTTGAAGATGTAGATTCCCAGGCTCAGCTGCACCATCTGATAGCTAAGGTTAAGTACGGACTCTATACACACACAGACACACACGCAAATGCACACACGTGTGAGAGTACACAATCACATACATAGCACACCCACACACATGTACTTCTTAGTCTCTGTTCCACAGAAGCAAAGGCTTTTTACACAGAGCTGGTTTCTCCTTCTTTGGTGGACTACACCCTTGCTGTAGGCCTGGCTCAAGTGCACGGTGTTAGACAGGACCGATGCCTGCGGAGCCTCACGGGTCTGCTTTGGGCACCCATTAGCTTATGGGTGCAGCCCTGGGCAGTGGCCTTGTGCTTGATCGTCTGCACCCAGCAGACACCTGCGTTCTTTCCGTGAGTGTTGTTTCGCTTCCACTCTTGTACGATTGGGTCTTCTAGGCTCCTCCCCTGCAATGAGTCCAGAGCATGGCTGAATTCTACATGTGACAGGAGTGAATAAGGCACATCCGAGGTGCAGACTGGGCATTTCCTTCGCATCCACCTTTTACTCATTTTTAAAAAAATAAACACCCACCGAGTTACTTCATAACAACCATGCTTTACTGCACTTTTTGATTGTCAGGAAAAAGCAAGACATTGGAATGACAGAGTTGCTTAGGTCAAAAAAATAGGTGAATAATCATTGTCATTTTTATTTACAATTTGATTAAAAACATGCTGTGATCTCATCAAAGTCGTCTTCTTTTTCGTTATCCCTCACTTCAGAATAACACTGATTGTGTGGGGGAGGGGATGGGGGAGTGGGCGTGGGTGTGAGGCCAGAGCTTGACTTCAAGTGACTTCTCTCATCACTGTCCACCTTATACTTTGGGACAGGCCTCTCACTGAGCTTTAAGCTCTCTGCATCGGCTAGGCTCGCTGGCCAGCAAGCCACAGGGTTCCACCTGTCTCTGCCGCCAGGACTGACAGGGCAGGACCAGGTGGAGATCCAAACTGAAGCGGAAATGTTTGTACGGCGTGCACTTTACCCATGGAGCAGTCTCCCCCGATCCCCACGGACTTTCTTGCTTGGGCTCTTCCTTCTCTGTCCTATCCTTTCTTCTTCCTGGAAACTGGCATCTTTGTGCTGTGGAATGGTATGTTGTTACAGGTGTGCAGCCGGTCAGCTGCCATTCTTAGGGGAGATATTTGGAAATTTGGTACCTTATGATTAAAGTTGACAATTCAGTTGAACAACCTAAATACCAGAAAATTCTTTCTTCTCAGTTGAAGCATATTTACAAAGCAAAAATACATGCACTTAGCATTAGTCCTCAAGCAAGTTACTTGCTTAATTCGTAGCTTGCCTTGTTTCAAATATACCTGTAATATCAAGTCTATGGGCAAATTATTAGTTTTAGTTTGGTTTTGAGAATGTCTACAATAAGTTTTGACCATATCTGCCCCTTCCATACTCACCAAACTTGTCCTCTTTTATTTTTTTTTTAACCCATCAAATCCTGTACTGTGCTGCAGTACATTCTACTGAATGTGTGGCTTTCCAATGCATCATGGTCAACCAAGCGGTAGTAACACTCATGATAAAAGTCGATTCTCCCTCCCCCAGCAGCCATCACCTGCCAGCGGTTCGTTTGCTGTGACTGGAACTTCGTGCCCACCTTCCCCTTCAGCGCTGGGCTTTGGTCTGGCTTGAGGTTACTCCGCTGTGAGTTTCTATGTGTGCCTGCCCCATTCTGTCCCGAAGACACTTTCCTAGCATTCATTCACCACCTCTGGCTCTTACAGTCTTTGATGGAAGGTGTTACGTGGACCAAAAGCAACAGTGTGGCATTTATCATTTTCATCCTTAAAGGATAGGATAAAAGACTCCTAACAGATTGTAAGAATGAGGGCTGGAGAACTTGGTCTAGTCTCAATATGATCTCAAAACTCTAGGGATGTTTAAAAGGCTATTATAGCTCAGGAATAATGAATTACTTCAGTCTTCCTCTTGATTTCAAGAAACAGAGCCCTTGTTCCTTTATGTAAGCTAACAGTAGCCCCACCCCCAACACACACACACACAAAGAGAGAACATTCATATAGTGAACAAAGATGTTGTGGGTGATAATTCTGAATTTCAAGGTTTTACAGCGGCAAATACTATGTAAGAAAGCAGCCGTAAGAGCAGGCTGTGTCAGCCGGGCCGTGGTGGTGAGTGGAGCACCCCCTCTGATCCCACACTCAGGAGACAGAGGCAAGCAGATCTCTATGAGTCTGAGGCCAGCCTGCTTTACAGAGTAAGTTCCAGGACAGCCAGAGCTACACAGAGAAACCCTGCCTCAAAAAACAAAACAGCAACAAAAAGGGCTGTGTCTAGACAGAGTTATGTTATTCTAAGTTACTCTAAGATTTTAGCAAATAGAGCCTCCTCAGTAACACAGCTGGCTGGAGTCCCACTGTTATCATCCGGGAAAACATTTACTAGACACTGTTTTACCTGAATACCTGTTATCCAGGAGCTCAGAAGGCTTCACTGGTACCGCTCTGACCTGCCTATTGATGAAGGGGACTCACTCTTCGGAAATCTCTAACCCGTAGAACACAGCCATTTGGGTCCTGGGGATCAAAAGCTGCATCTCTTTTATGGACACTGCGCGGCAGGGCAGGGCAGGGCAGTTCAGAGCAAAGTCTGTTCTTCAGCTGGTGAGCCCTAGATCTGGTTGCTGCAGAGCTCCCTCTGGAGGTCGGCAGGACCCAGGGGTGTTGAGCTGAGAATCACCTCACCCTCAGTGCACCTTCTCAGGGTCACAGGTCGAGGGTTTGTGAGTTTAGGAAATGTTCATAGTCTGTATTTGCAGAGGTGGGAAGCTCCCTGGTCAGCCTCCTGTCAGTGAAATTTAGTTGCTGTGTGGTGAGATTTAATCTCCTATAGCTTTACATTTTGTTTTTGATTAAAGTCAAAATAAAACAAAGAAAAACCAGCCATCAAGAAAGAATAAAAGCTACTTTATTTTATTGTTTTAGAGAAAAATATGCACAAAATACATTTATTCTGGTTTTATAAGGTCTGCCTTCCAAGAAGGATAAGCTTATCTCTGGAGTCTGAGTATGCTATACAGGTGCTGGAGTCCAATGACACCAAGATGAATGAATGACTTTTGACAGAACAGAGCTTTTTAAAAGTAAATATGCAAACAAACCTTCATAGAATCAAACTTTTATTACCCCATTTAAGTTTTCATTAATAAGAATAAGTGCTAATCAAATCATGTCTCTCCTCCCATCATAACTACTTTCTGTAGTGGGTAATTTGACTTTGGGGAGTCCATGTATTCCTTCCTATTCTATCTCTAGTTCTCCTCAGACTGTTTCTTTTTGTTTTCCTTTTATTTCAGGATTTATTTATTTATTATTTATACACCATTCTGTCTGCATGTGTGCCTTTGCCCCAGAAGAAGACACCAGATCTCACTATAGATTGTTTTGTGAGCCACCATGTGGTTGCTGGGAATTCAACTCAGGACCTCTGGAAGAACAGCCAGTGCTTTTAACCTCTGAGCCATCTCTTTAGCTGGCAGACTCAGTTTCTTTTATGACAGCTATGTTGATTTTAGAATGATTTTGATGTACTAAAGATGAAATTAATTTGCATTTCTCTGGTGGCTACTGTGGTTTTTCATATCCATGTTGGCCATTTGTATTCCATCTTTTGATAATGTTTCATCAGCTCATTTATTGATTGGGTTGTTTCACTCTTGCTGTTTAGTTATTTTGAGTTCTTTGTTTTAGATACTAATTCTAGATACTAATCCTTTATCAGATGTACAGATAGCAAAGATTTTTCTCCCATTCTTCAGGTTGCCTCTTGATTCAATTAACTATTTCCTTTGCTGTTGTAGGTGGTTATTAATATTTACTATTGGTTTATCTTCTAGTAAAGCTTGCTGTTAATCTTAAACAGCTGTATAACCAAATCACCACACAGAGACTGGGTTTTTAGTTAACCTAGAACACAATGCTGGGCAATATTTACTGCCTCCTAAACCTCCAAGCCCTCAGTTTCCTAACATTTAGATTTCCCACATTATACTTGCTTTTTGTGAAATCTTAGGTCTGGTTTATGCTC